TAAGTCCTCGTTGGAGAGAGACGAAATCACCTTGACGAGTGGACTGGAGTAGTTTGAGATCAAACGAACCATGATAAAAACATTATGTCTTTGCGCATTTGATTTTAAGTTAGTTACTGAACAAGTAACTACTACTTTTTACATAAATAACTCCTAAATTGATAAATGAGTAATGCCATTTTTGTAGGGGCAATTCCGAGGAGAGAGCATTTTACTTGGGACACACCTTTGTGAGAGACACACCACTTGTCCATCTAAAACCTTAAGGTGATAGATGAGTGGGTTCTCTCAAATATAAGTGCTCAATCTTCCCTTTTATAATCAATGTGGGACTTCTTCCTCACACTTGATTCTCAACACTCCCCCCTCAAGTGTGAGTCACAATGCTCCCCCTCATGTGGAATGACTCTCTTCCACATACACTTGTACCACCGCTTGATACAAGTAAGCCGGTCCCTATCTCGAAACCAAAGGCTCATGATACCACTGTAGGGGAAATTCCGAGGAGAGAGCATTTTACTTTCCTCACAAAACTTCTGAAACACTGTAGAGTTATACTCACCTCCACCATCTGTTCTCAGAATTTTTAACTTCTGACCACTCTGCTTCTCAGCCTTCACCTTGAATTTCTGGAACTCAGTAAACACTTCATGCTTGAACTTGATAAGTGTTACCCATGTCATTCTTGTGAACTCATCCACAAAAGACACAAAGTAATTGTTTCCTCCAAGTGAAGGTACTGGAAATGGTCCACACACATCAGAATGTACTACTCCCAGAGCATGTTTCGCTCTGGGGGCTACTTCTGATGTAAATGGTAATCTAGGTTGCTTACCTTTCATGCATATCTCACATGACTTCTCAGGCTTCACAATTTTCGAAATACCACGTACGAGCTTCTTAGAACATAGATGCCCTAAGCTTCTATAGTTTAAGTGCCCTAACCTCTTATGCCACAGCTTACTGTTACTTTCAGCACCTTCTGCACTAAGGCACGCTACTTCAGCTGTTTCTACATTCACCTTGAATATTCTGTTGCCTCCTTGTTCAGATTTCATAATTAACTTCTGATTGGAATCATACAACATCAGAAGATTGTTTTTCATAACAACTGAAAAACCTTTCTCAATCAGCTGACCTACACTCATCAGATTGCTTCTAATACCAGGAACATACCAGACGTCTTTGATCAGAATGTCTTTCCCATTCTTCACTCTAATTCTGACATCTCTCATACCTTCTGCATTAAGATACTTATCGTCAGCACATCTGATCTTTGTACTCCTTCTGGAGTCAAAGTCTGTCAGCCATTGTTTGTTTCCAGTTAAATGATTTGAGCAGCCAGTGTCCATATACCACCAATCTTCTGAGCATTTTCCATCAGAGTCAGAGGCCATTAGCAGTACAGGTTCATCATCAGAGTTTCTCTTAGCCATATATGCTTCTTCTGATTTCCTATCCCTGTTTGACCTACAATCTCTGGCAAAATGGCCCAATTGTTTACAAGAGTAACATTGAACCTTTCTTTTGTCATACCTCTCTTTTCCTTTATGATACTTCTTGTCATCAGAAGTTGAGGCTTCTGACTTCTGGAATCTATCACCACGTCTATTCTGCTTCTGGTCTTTCTTGACAAAAGAAGCCTTTAGAGCTTGCTCAGCTTCTCTCTCAGAAGTTCTCTCAGACAGACGTAACTCCTGTGCTTCTAAGCTGCTTTGTAATTCTTCTATTTTCATGGTTTCTAGATCTTTAGAATGTTCAATAGAAACAACAATGTAATCAACCTGAGGAGTGAGCGACCTCAGAATCTTCTCTATGATTACCTGTTTAGTCAGAGTTTCTCCACACGCCTTCATCTCGTTAGTGATCAGAATCACTCTGGAGATATATTCAGAAACTTTCTCACTGCTCTTCATGTTCAGGTTCTCATATTGCTTTCGTAGGGATTGAAGCTTCACCTTCTTTACTGATGCGTCACCACCGTAACATCTCGTCAGTAAATCCCACGCCCCTTTAGACGTTGTTGAATCAACAATCTTCTCGAACACATTTTCCTCAAACACACAACTCACAACCACTCGTGTTTCCCAGAAAAAAAAACAGAACTAAAAACTCTGATACCACTGTAGGGGCAATTCCGAGGAGAGAGCATTTTACTTGGGACACACCTTTGTGAGAGACACACCACTTGTCCATCTAAAACCTTAAGGTGATAGATGAGTGGGTTCTCTCATATATAAGTGCTCAATCTTCCCTTTTATAATCAATGTGGGACTTCTTCCTCACACTTGATTCTCAATAATTTTTCACTCTCTCATATTTTTCTCTCAATTACTCTCTTCTTCTCTTCCTCTCAAATTGCTATCCTCAACATGTTGTGTCTTTTTTTATCAATAATTATAATTTAAAAAATAATAATTTTCTTTTAAAAAAATAACGAGATAACTGGTTGTGTATATATATATATAAAGGAGAAACTATATTATAATTTTGCACAACAACTATGCTACCTTGAAACTGTTTTACACCAAATACATATATTGGGTTGACGATATTTATACGGTGTTTTTTTAATTAAAATAATATTATTTTTAAAAATATTTTTAATAAAATTTATTTTATTTTATAACACAAATATAAGATTGTATTATTAATCAACTTCACAATTATATTAATCATAAAAATATAAATTATTAATCAATTATTTTACTTATAATTCGTTAATCATCTTCACTATTTTATTAATAAATAAAATATATATTATTAATTATATTCTGACACTAAATTGTAAATGTATTAATAAATTTTTATATTTCATTAACTAACTTTATTTTATCATTTAATATTTTTTTATATTGAAATATTTATTAATTAAGTTATGAATTGTATTAATTAATTTTATAAAAAGTATTAATCAAAGTATGAAATATATAGTAGAAATACTTCAATCCAATACAAGACATAATGTGTTAATTATTACAACTAAATCCTCTAAATGAATGTTTGATTTTACTGTAAGTTTATCAGAATGAAGACGACCCTACGTACCACCTTATACCAAACATATATGCACCAAAACAATAGAAAGCAAGGTAATTTCTATTTAATTAGCTAGCTAGTTGCTATAGGTTTTATTACATTATCAAAACTAGTGGAGACAATGGGTGCATTTTTTAAATGATTATGATCCAAACTAAATATGACTTAAATATTACTTTTGGATATGCTTGACAATGACTAAAAAGGTTTGGTGTTTATCAACTTAAAATAATTAAATTGCAAAACATTTTTGAAGTAATTACATTTAACGTAGCTAAAGTTAATAGTGGAATGTTGTACATCCTAAATTTTAGTGACCTTAAATTAAAAGAAATAAGAGTGTGTTGCTTTCATGAGTTGAAATAACATTTTGAAAATATAATATAAGAAATGCAATAATTTTATGTTTTTAAAATTTTTAAAATTATTTTAAAATATTTTTTTTCAAAAATTTTATTTATACACAATTATTTTATTATTATTTCTAAGTTTAAAGGATGTTAATATAGTTTTTCCTTAAAAAAATACAAATAACTATAACTTTATTATCATCAATATTTTTATTTGTTTATAATTTTAACTTATAAAAACTTTACAATTATTTCTAAAAATTTTAAATTTCTATCAAATCTGAAAATAAACATACTTTAAATTTTTTATAAAAAAAATATTAATTATTAATTTGTCATGAGAAATTAAAATGTTAATATGACTAGGATGCAACCTTTGATTTTCTAGGTAAAACTCGTTCAATATCCCAATACAAGAGAGTTAATTCTACTTTGTGGACTAAGTTACTAGACATTGAATAATTATAACATGGACATGTATATTTATATTAATCATTTATAAAATTAAAAATGTTAATTGATTAAGTGGTTTAATATAGTTTTAAAAAATTAATTAAATTTTTATTTTATAATAAATAAATAAAATATGAATTAAAAAATGAATGAACATCTAGGTGTTCTATTTTAAAATAATAAAAACTCCAAATGACCACTTTATATATAATTCTTCAATATACTATATTATATCTTCTTTTCATTTGAGGAATATCCAAGACATTAAAAATATTAGTTGAGAATGATCTACAAACCAATAAATATTTGTCACTAGTTGCTATACTTTTGAGATTAAGAATTACTCTTGTCATTGTCTCGAGAGCTTTCCTCTTCGATATGTCCATGTATTCTTATAATACTTGATAAATCAATATGTCATAGATTCCTAGGTTGTGTATATGTATACTCATGTTTGTTTCACTTCCACCTTAAACTATATTTGTAGTTTTAATCTTTTTATTTGAACATGTCTGGTATAAATTAGTTATTAATTTAATTCTATTAAGAAGAGTATTTATAATTGTTGAGTTCAAGTGTGAGTGATTAAGTTTCACATCGACTTGAAATAGCATAAATGTTGAATTTATAAGAAAAATATCTATATAATTGATGTCTTAGAATTTTAGATGAATATTGGTGTCAGTCACATAGAGTTTTAGACCTTTAACTCATTGATATTTTTGGCGTTCTCTAGACTTTCCAACAAGTGATATCATAAATGTGATTAAGTTTAAGGTGTAAAAGTGAAATTTAGTAAAGATCAATATTAGTGATGTGAATGACTTACACTTATAAAAAAAATTTTAAATTCAAATATGAGGGATTAAATCTCATAACAATTAAAAATTAATAAAAATATTAGATTTACAGTCCATCAATACTTTTGACATTCTTCAAACTCCTCCAACAAACAATTCTTAACTATGAACAAAATAAAAGATAAACAATACTCATTTGAGATCAAATTAGAGAAATATTTTATGTTAACTTAATAAGTTAATTTTGCACTTGAGGATATAATTTATTGTTGACCAAATGCATATATTAAAAAAATTAACATATACTAAAATGAAAAAGAAAAGTAAAAACACATTATAGCTCTACCTATAGACCTCTCTACTCAGGGTCAGGGGCTTTACTATACCTTTGAGAGAACACAGTACATGAAGGTTAATTAAGTTCAGATAAGTAATACTAAATCATCCATTCATCTAGCTTAATTTCACTTAATTAAGGGTAATCAAAAGTATTATCACCATACTTTTTAATCATCATTTGTGTTCTTCACCTTAGTGTAGGTGTATATATAATAACAGTATAGCATTTAAATTCTGTGTCCAAACAACAGTGTCTCAAATCAGAATATGTTTAGACAGATGATTAACAAAATTGTATAAAAATGATGAAATATATAAAAACCTGGTGTTTGCATATTCGTAAAGCTTTCCAGTGGCGGAGAATATAACAACTCCAACTTGTGCATCACAAAGGATCGCTAACTCTTTGGCTTTCTTGATCAAACCTTTTCTCCTCTTTGAGAAAGTCACTTGCCTGCTTGTACAGTTCTCGATCCTTCTTATCACAATCTTCCCTCTTCCCATTCTTTTTTTCACCTAGCTAGGGTTTCTGAAACAGTTAGATATATAATTAATATTATAGATATATAAACTGAAAAAGAAAGAAAAAAAGAATTTAGAGTCTTACTTCAAAGATGAGGTGAGATCAAGATGATGCAGTAAAGAAGAGTTTCCATTTTTAGTGTATGGAAAGAGAGGTTTTATATAGAATAAGCAGAGAAAGGTTAAAAGGAAGTTGGGTGAAAGAGGAAGGTGCTTACTGTTTAGATTAGAATATATTAATTCTAGATCTTTACTGCTGCGACTCGTGAGTTGTGAAGTACTTTCTACAGTAAAGTTTTTCATTCTTCAAAGAACTACAACTATTAAAATGAATGAATAGAATAATATTGCGTATTTGGTTTTTTGATCATTTTTATGAATGCGCCGTCAGCCGTATAAGTCCTTGACACGTTACAAATAAGAGGTACACTTTCTTGATGACAAATCTAAAAATTTATTTTGACATACATGTAAATGAAATGTATATGAATTATTCTGTACTACCAAAGAATGGGGGAGGTTTGCAAGTAATCTAGTTAACACTCTCATTGCTCACGACCCTATGAGATTGAAGTAGATTTTTACAAATATGAGTTTTTTATTTATTTTTATAACCAATGGAATTCAATTATCAAATAGTGTATCAAGGGTACTCATCCATCAATATAACATCAATAGTTTAAGAAATCAATCGGTAAGTAATTTTATAACGTAAAATTACACGTAACTTTTGTCGGAATTCCTAACATATTCCATAATCATGATAATAATTTAGTCCTATGCACTATCTCCCTAACATGAAATACCGTCGAATTAAATTGGATATCATTCCTCATGCTCTATAAGGTCCACTCTGTGGCTAGTCAAACCAACAATTTCTTATTCTCTTTAACTGTCCCGCCCAACACTCTACGAAATGTCAATATATGCTCCACCACCCCTGACGAATCTTCCAAAGCCACTCCAAGCCATGTTGCTATATCATTCCAAACCATTCTTGAAAGAAAACATTGCACCAACAAATGATCAAGAGATTAATTATGTAACCGACAAAAAACACATACCTTTTCACTATCGTCAATTAAGATTCCTCTATTGGCCAACTGATCCTTGGTTGCTATTCTATTTTTTATGCACTTCCATCCATAAATCAATATTTTTGACGGCACTCTAGTTTTTCATAATACCTCTATAGCTTTAGAAGTTTCCTCGCTTTGGGCCTGAATGGTTCTTTTGTTAGTAAACTCCAAGTACCCCGAACTTACCGAATACAATCCATTATCTCCTTTGAACCATTTGTATTTATCTTCATCACCCTTATATCCCACATGAAATCACCTCTAATTCTTGCAATTGTTCTGCTACCAACGTTGGAGCCCTCCTTTGATTTTTGCCCAATTTCCATACCCAATTATTCCTTTCAAATGTTCACATTTGCATAATTGTTGCGCCTTGTTTATTCGACCATGCAAACGCATCCGGAAAGACTTCCTTGAACGGGATACCGCCAAGCCAATTGTTATGCTAAAATTTTATTGATTGTCTCGAACCTAGAATGCACGCAACACCATTCAAAAACCAGTATGTCATCTCACATTCAGACCTACAAGCAATTATATCTCGCCACCATAACTAGGATTTCTTTATCGATTCTTCTGTAATTCCTCCGAGTACGGCTCCCTCCAAACAACCATACCTATACTCTAAAATCGGTCTCCACAATGCCTCTTTATCCACCAAAAAACGCCACTTCCATTTACTTAACAAATCATTGTTGAAGGTTTCCAAACACCTAATGCCTAAACCCCCTGCTCCTTAGCCCCACAAACCTCGCTCCAATTTACCCAAGCTATCCCCTCCTTCTCCAAACCACCACTCCAAAGAAATTCTCTTGAATTCTTTTAATACCACACAATAAGGAGAACCAATATTACATATGTGTGACAATTATCCGCATTTACATAATATATTTGTGGTTGTTAAATTTTGACCACGAAATAAGTATATGTGCACATATATTATATATCAAACATTTTATTTATTAATAGTCTATGTGAGACTTAAAAAATCACACTTAAAACTAATAATCTTTCTCAAAAGTGTAGGTTCTCACATTCTATTATAGTATTTAATAAATGGTCCATTTTCACTCACCCATCAAATTGAACTAAGACTCTATATTTCTACCTTAAGACTATAAGTATAGGTGGCATATTTGTTATATTTAACATTTTACTCATTCCTAATTGATGTGTTATTTAACCAGTCACAATTGAACTCAACAATCTCCTCAGAAGTGTGACTTCTCACATTATATATTTGATCCAAACACAATAGTTTATCTTTTCTCTTCCACCAAGCCGAATCATAGCTCTAATACCTAATATTTGAGAATCTAGGAGATCGTCCAGAAAAATAACAAATCAATGCTCCACAACCATAAGAGGTGAAGACGTTACATATCAGCTTAGAGGTGGTAAAACTAGTCATACCCTCTGAGTATGCCTATTTTTTCCGCATTTTTTTACAGAGAAAATCAAGGTTTTAGGCCTACACCCTCTAAATCATTCGTCTAGCCCGCCCCATTTATTTGCAAGCTTTTATGGGAGCATACATTACCATGAATTTTTGTAATTTAAGACTTTAAAAGTGTAATTCATGCGGGCCTGCCCCTCCTCATCCTCATATTTTAGGGGTAGGGCAAAGTTTTAGTTTGCACCCTTAACTATGTCCACCCCGCCCTATCCATTCCATTTTGCCATTCCCTTCTCTACCAAAATCTTAACACATTATATATATATATATATATATATATATATATATATATATATATATATATATATATATATATATATATATATATATATATATATATATATATATATATATATATCATAATTACTAGGCAAGTTAATTAGACTACCACTCATATTGACTGAAATAAAGAAAATGTTTAAGATAATAAAAGCTTGAGGTGAGAAGAGTACTTGGTAAAGCAGAAACTGACGAAAAAATAAAGTGTAATGGAGAATAATTGAAGCTTTGAGCAAGGAACTACAATTGCTCTAGTAAATACTCGTGGGAATAAAGAGAAAAATGCATTCACAAATAGAAATTAACTCTCAAAGATTGATGAAATCAAGTGCAAACATAAACAATAAATATTCATCAAGACCATCTAACTAATCCAATGATTAACAAACTCAAGTTCACTATAAGGAGCGACATGCCTTAACTTGTCACCTCAAGTGACACGTTAAGGAAGAGCAGCGAAACATTTCAATGATGGGAAGACATTTATTGCGTCCGTTCCCCGCTACTTTTGCAACTTATCCAAGACGTTTCCACTTCTGACCAAAATTGAACAACATCCTCAGGGGCAGACCACGACTTCTAAGACTTCCCTTGCTAATAACCACTCGACAAGCCTTGGGCCAATTTTTTTGGGTCGGCTAAAAGTCCAAAAAGCCACGGCGTAATCCAATGCAAGTCACTCCAAATGACTCAATAGATAAATGTCTTCACACAGGATACACTTTCTATTATTTTACTACACTCATCTTGATTTTTGAACTGACTTGAGCATTGGAGTGTTAACCTTATATGTCTATCTTGTGCCGTCGTATCAAAGATCAACACTATCGATTCAAAATTCTTCACCATCGATATCCATCAATTTGATTCCATAACAGAATATATATATATATATATATATATATATATATATATATATATATATATATATATATATATATATATATATATATATATATATATATATATATATATATATATATATATATATATATATATATATATATATATATATATATATATATATATATATATATATATATATATATATATATATATATATATATATATATATATATATATATATATATCACTATGCCAAACAAGCACATAGACATCACTTTTTTTGGTCATAGATAGCGCTTATAAGCGCTGCCTATTCCTGCGCTGCTGTAACCTTAGGCAGCGCTTTTAATCTATGTGAAAGCGCTGCTTAGTGTAGACCTTAGATAGCGCCTTATTGAACAAGCGCTTTCTAAAGGCCCCTATAGGCAGTGCTATTAACAATGTAAGCGCTTTCTATAGTTTGCCTATAGCAGCGCTTTCACTTTAGACAGCGCTTGAAGAAGCGATGTCTAAAGTGAAAGCGCTGCTATAGGCACACTATAGAAAAAGCGTTGTCTATTGTATTATTATTATTATTATTTTATATTTTAGTTAAGCGCTGTCTAATGTACCCTTTTAGGCATCGCTTGTTATGTCATAGGCATCGCTTTTTGGGTTAAAGCGATGTTTAATGTTAACGGATTTTTTAATATATTTAGCTTATAATTTAAGCGCCATGTACACATAATCACTTAAAATTTAAGCGCCTTCTTTCAAATTTGCACCAGAATTTATAAATTTTTGAAGTTTCAATCCAATAAATATGAATCAAATTTACATATTTATATATACAACTTTAATCTAACAATTTATATATACATAAACACAACTTAAAGTGTTCAATATTGTTATCTTCTAGAGCTGCTATATTCTACTATCTTCTCTACAAACAACAACAATGAAGAATCCTAAATGAATCTATATATCTTCTACACATATATGCACCTACCTGAAACAAAACAAACAAAGGCATATATATTAGAATCAAGCTATATATAAAATTTGGGCCTTTATCCTTTGTTTCTTAAACCGTGAACCAAGCCACGTTATAACCCTTAAAAGTCCTAGCTGAAGCATGGGTTAGTTCGAAAGCATACTGTTACGAAGGTATCCTGACTCCTGAAGGTTCGCTGTAAAATCTTGAGTTGACACCGCATTGTATCATAAAAAATGCATTTTCAAAATTCAAGACAGACATAGGCTTTTGCATTCTCAAAATAACCTTGCTTGCATATGACTATTTGTTTGAACAGCAGGGAAATTCGCGCGATGAACACCTTGTGAACTGAAATACCTCCAATCAAGGGGCACAGTAGGAGCATTGCCCATTATCTGGGGCATGACAAAATACTTCTAACAGGGGCAACTCCCTACATTCTGAAAGCATGGACATAGTCGGAAAAATACTACGCATAATCAAAGACCCGCTAGGTTGATATACCTAGGCAAAAATAAGGGCTTCCCGGCGAACCAAAAGGGTTCGGGCAAAAATAAGGGATGAAAATGGAAAATATGTACACCCGGCAAGTCGAAAACCTGAAAAGGCGGCTTGGGCAAAAATGGGTATCTCGGTGGACTGAAAACCCGAAAGGGCGGTCCAAGCA